AGGGTACCTGGTTCTGCGGTTGCGAGGCCTCTCGTCCGGATCGTAGTCCATGAGGAATCGTACCTCCTCGTTCGGGTGGTCCTGAGCTTTCTGGAAGGTCTTCTCCGCTTTTTTCCTCATGTACTCGTGAATGGTGTCCCAATGCAGGTCTCTACGCAAGGTTGAGTTTCTTACGTAGGATGGTGCACTGGTGGCGATCCGGAGTAGCTTCATCTCTAGAGCAGCAAGTCGCTTGCGGTAGCTGGGAGCAGCGTACCCCCAGACCGCGGAGGCGTAAGCGAGCTGAGGTCTGGCGATGGCATTGATCAGCCGTAGCTTGGTCGCCAGCGGCATCCGGCTGTGTCTACCCAGTAATGGGTAGTGTTGGGCCATGGCTGCTCTGGTCTTTGCGATGACAGTTTCTATGTGGTCTTTCCAGGTGAGGGACTTGTCAAATACGATCCCCAGATATTTGACTTTGTCGCTCCACTGGATATCTTCGTCGAAGATGGATGCTTCGAGAGGTCTTGCAATCCTTCTTCGTTGGATGAAAATTGCCTGCGTCTTCTGGACGTTGATGTGGATTTTCCATTTCACGCACCAGTCCTGGATGTGGTCCAGTTCATCCTGTAGTCTCCTACGGATGATCTCGGGTCGTCGATGCTTGGCGGCTATAGCAGTGTCGTCTGCATATAGGGCCAGCATTGTGTCAGCTGTCTTCGGTACGTCGTGAGTGTAGATGTTGTAGAGCAGTGGGGCTAAGGCTGACCCCTGGGGCACGCCTGCTTCCAGCTGTCGTCTTGTTGAGTGGCATGTACCAATCTTCACCGTGAACCATCTTTGTGTCAGATAGCTCTGGATCAGTTGACACATGTTTGCATCGATTCCGGCGGCTTCCATTTTGGCGATGAGTCCATCGTGCCAAATTCGATCGAAGGCTCGTTCCACGTCCAGCAGGACGAGGCCGGTTGCCTCCTGGAGATTGAAGCCACTGGTGATGTTTTCTGTCAGTCGTAGCGCTTGGAGTTCCGTGTTGTGGGAGGATCTGAAGCCGAATTGCTCTGGGGGGAGAAGTTCCAGTTCTTCTGCCTGCTTCTCTAGTCGAACGGCGATAGCCTGGCTTGGTGAGCATTATAACCTGTGCTTCCCGCCACCGCCGCGGGATAAGGTATCACTCGACCCCCCTTTCCATTTAAGATTTTGGGGGTGGTGTCACCCCCGCTTAGGGGGCTGTGCGTGCTAACGTGATTTTTTTCCAAACTTATGTCCCCCTCAAAAACAAAATCAACGGGTCTGAGCGTTTTTCAAAAAAAACTGAGCTGCCAGTAAATGCGTCTGTTTCGTTTTCGATGCTCCACCCTGTATATACAGGGTGACTTTGAAGTTGAGTCATTAATTTTCAGATAATGATTGTAGAAGGAAGATAAACCAAAATATGTGTGTAAAAATAAAAAAAAATAAAAAAATTTTTTTACCTTGTTTTATAAAGTATCCTCCCGACAAGTATTTCAGTGCGGACCTGTATTTGATCGTGAGGTCCCCTGTGAGGTCTTAAGTCACCTGATTCACGAGCCCGTTGTACTACATTAACAAAGGCACGAGGGGTTGGTTGCACTCGATTGGGAAACCGATCCGCATAAACATGTGCCATTTTTTATTTCGTTTGAGCCACGCAACAGACACCAACCACTATTCACACGCGTTACCGACTGACACTGACTGTATGTATACAACTGAATAAAATAATTGTAAAAACATCGTTCCAAATTGTTTCGCTTTTTTGTTTCCGATGCGATGAACCGATAAGGCGGATTATATCCGTTGTTGCCAAACACGAGCACATGATATTATTATTGAGACAGGGCGGTACTCAAACTTCCAAAGGGCTATAACTTTGTTACTTTAATTTTACCAGAAAAATGGTAGAGGAAAAAAATTTTTTTTTTTTGATCAGATCTACTCACTGTTAAAATAAATGACTCAACTTCGAAGTCACCCTGTATATATATATAATGGTTTTATTTTGGGCGTACACATCTTTGAATTTTTTTACACAGGAGCAGACGCGCAGGCAAAAGCCTAAATGACAGGACACCTCGGCTGCTATGAGGATCCCAAAGAAATTTTCTTAATCGGATTTTTGAACTAGGTACCTAAGCTTAGTATAATTGGGAAAAGCCTCATCTTGTAGATTGTTTCACAATCTAGACATCCTTGGGACAAAGGAGCGGTCATATCGGTCTGTTCTGGATGTACGAAGTCCGACACGGTTAGGGTGGGAGGCCAAAGTCAGGCGGGTCTGCCTGGCAGCCACATCGCGCGGCATCATCATGAAGGGGAGCTCTGAGGAGCAATGCTTGTTGGTGTAGCGGTAGAAGAGAGCTAGATTGCCATCGGCTCGCCGGTGTGAAAGGGTCCCGAGACTGTCTGTTCGTGAAGAGTCATCGATCAGCCGGACAGCTCAGCATCGAGCATATATCATGTAGTCGGAGCCGCAGCACACTAAATTTGTGAGCAATACTTGAGGATATGTCTTGCCTGGGCCTTGTATAGAGTGAGGAGGTCATTCTGATTAAAATACTTCTTAGCCCTAAACAAATAAATGCTTTTTCCCAGCAGCTCCTGCTATTTACGACATGTGTTCGTGCCAGATCAAATCCTCGAAGATCTGAACTCCGACTAGCCGAAATGAGCGGTCCTTTGGCAGAACGCGGCCATTCTTCGAAACCGGATGAGCGCTAGGACGCTTTTTGTTCGTCAAGTTAGAGTACTGTGCTTTGGAAGCATTAAACTGTACAAGACTGTTGCGTCCCCAAGCTACATGATAACCTAGTGGTCTCTCGTCAGTTAGGAAGTCGCTGCTAGTCTTCTTTTTTCCATCTCACCGGCAGAGATCGGCTTGGCGCTCTGAATTCCTGTTTGTAAAGAGATGTCATCAACAAAGCTGTGGATCTTGGCAAGCACTGTGGCCTTAGTATTAGAGTCGGTTACAATCGTTCCACCCTAACTCGTAAGTTTGTGAGAAGTTCCATTCAATCTGCTTGACCAGCGCCCAGAAAGACCGACTGCCATTGCGCTGCAACATTACCCTGTGCCTAACTTTTGTATCGTGCTGGTCTTTGGCATTGCAGATCACTTCGTTAAATTTGTTTCTGGACCTATAAAATTAAAAATATAAATAAATGATTACTTATGTCTCAAAAAACCTTTAGTGTATTTAAACCCAAGATAGAATGGATGCGTGATTGCCAAAAGCAAGGACGGCGTACAGGACCGCATTCAGGGCTACCTCCGAATGAGGGACAAGCACCAACGTGTTGTAAAACAAAGATGACAGTATTTAACGAAATTATCTAATATAGTGAAGTAGTTATAGTTAAGGGTGTCGCAAAATCAAATTTTTATTCTTGAAGGGGTGCTAAGTTTTTCTACAGATTTTTCAAACTAGACAAACATGGAGAAATACATACCAGAGGTAACCAGCTGCTCACTATGCACAATGAATCCGTAGTCAACGAGGGGTAGAGATGACACTTTTGTACATGGAATAAATATAAGGCTGTTCAATCAATTGAAAATAGATTTTGAAGGTGCACTTCGGACTTGCATTGTTGTAGTTTATCTGTAAGTTAATATTTCACTATAACTAGGATTCCCATAATACGTATTCTGTGACAAAACAAAAACGCGAAACTTACTCAGACTCACTTGAAGAGCTATCGTCATTAATGATGATGGATTCAAAATCTCTCTCAATTATGTTGTCCAGCTCCCACATTGCTACCTCCACTTTCTCCTGAACATGCTGCACACATTTTTGCCATCTTTCTGGTGTGACCCTCTGTATAGCAATTCTGAACAGCTCTTGCATGTCAGAAAATTTAAATGTATTGTGTGCAGCAACAAAATTCTTAACATCTGCCCATATGAGCTCAATGGGGTTGAGCTCACAGTGGTAAGGCGGCTAACGGAGTTTTGTGGTGTGCTTTGGTCATTTCATCTATGACATATTTATCATGTCTTGGTCTGTGTTGTTTCACAATATCTAATAGTTGTAATTTCAGTAAGGCAGGGTCGAAAGTTATATTTTTGGAACGGAGCCAGCTCTGAATGTCTGATTTCCTAGAAGCTGAAGTTGGGATTTTTTCTATTTTGCGAGAATGATAGGGAGCATTATCCAAAACAACCACAGAATATTCTTCGAGACGTGGTAAAATGCCTGAAAACCACTTCTCAAATGCTTCCCCATTCATCTCTTAATGGTAGTCAGTGTTTTTTTTTTGACTCAAAAGACCATAAGCCGTCATCCACGAAGCCATCTACACCCCCAATGTAGCAAATAATGAGCCTTTTTCCTTTGCCTAGAAAGATAAAATCCGCTAAGTACACTGCACGTCTTGTAGGTACGAAGATAGAGAGATATTGTGCGCAAAAATTGATAGCGTGAACTACTTCGATCTATTTACCTGCTGGATTTTTCAATCCGGTCGACAGTCCATCTAGAAATGCCCTTCTGGATGAAGTCACAGTTTTGTCAACCTTCGGAGTAGTGTGCCCAGCGTTAATCCAAGTTTCGTCCAGGTAATAGATCTTCCTATGCTGATTCCTGAATGATTTAATGTTGGTCAGGTACTCTCTCCTCCACAGAACAATTTCTTCTCTATCCATAAGTAAGCTGTTACGACCTCGTTTCTTCCATTCGAAATTAAGATGCATCAAAAGTTTATTAATAGTCGAACGTTTGAAATTTGGTAACATAGTATCCTCGTTAACCTCCCTTAGTACCTTATGAACTGTCGATATTTCGTGTTCTTATTTTCTTCTTCAGTATCGGTGTCATCCCTGATGTCATCGTATATTTTCCAAAGTAGCGCAACAATCCGTGCCAACTCCACTTAAAGCAGTATCCAAAGTATCACATTTTCTCTCAGAGCAATAATTTTACAATTAATAGCTTCCCTGTTTGCATTCGCAATATAAAATCTTCCAGATACCAATAAAAATGCCACTTAAAATTACAACAGCCTCGGATATATGCGAGAAGCTGGCAGCGTTGTGTGTAGCTTTATGTGCAATCTGACAACCATGTCACATCAAAAAAATGGTATTTGACATTGACATAAGTCAACCGTGTTGCCCAATGGACAGCACGGACTATACCTTCTTCAGTGTATGTGTATTGTGTTGTATATGCTTTGTGGTATATTATGTTTTGTAGTTTTGTGTTGTGATCAGTCTGAGTCTATAGATCTGGTGTATATGTTTTGTGGATTTTTGATTAATGTGGTTAGACAGGTTTATTTTTTAGAAATTTGGATATTAATGTGATATTAATTATCCAAGGAAACACATTAAAATGTCTTATCAGCTATACAGAAACACCACCTTGGGACACACTCTTCAAGAGAGTCTAGATGAACTCATACAAGTAACATTGAATAGATTTTCCATTTGCAGAAAATATATATTGTTTTTTCTGCAGTACGGCCAAATAACACCACAGCTAGCGGGCAGGGTGCTTCTCCAGTTCGACAGATCCATTAATCAAACTTTAGCTACCAGGGTTAAGTCAAGGATAACATTTAAGGCTGGAAAACTTAATACATACCGTTTCTGTGATAATGTGTGGACCTTCATGCTCAATGATGCTGAATTTAGAGAAGTACAAGAGATCACAAAAATAGATAAGGTGAAAATTGTTGCCTGTGATGGTAAAAGTAAGTATCTCCTTTCATAACTTATACTCTAATTGTAGCAATTACCATGAAGTAATTATAATAGTAGGTTTTATTGATGCAAGTTGTTCAGGGCAGTGTTTATTAGAGGTACACTGAGTACTCTGATTTTACCTGCTCCCTAGCCTATTTTACAGAGTACTTGGTTTTGCCAAGAATTAAGTTACTTGGCCAATTTGTGTTAATCAGAGATATATGCAAAAGTCTGAGCTCATACCTGTATACATTTCTCGAACATTCCTAATATGTTCTCTAAGAAAATAAAGCATCATCAAAAAAAGCATATTTTTATTGAAATCAGTTGCTTGATTTCGTTAAATTTTAAGTCAATGTTGACCATCTTCTAGAGTAGCTTATTTTTTATGTTGAGCTGTATCACATGTATTTTCATAAAAAAGATGATGAGAGAATTTATTTTACCTGATCTACTATAAAATGCCCCGCTGGAAGTATGAGGGGCAATATGGTTTATGTACAATGGAGCTCCACCTCACTTCAGCATAGCAGCTCACCATTTTTTAGATGCAAGTTTTGGAGAAAACTGGATCGGGCGCGCAGGTCCACAGTCATGGCCACCCAGGTCACTGGAATTAAATCTGTTTGATTTTTTCTTTGGGGGTATTTACAGTCCCTCATTTAAAAAACTCCTTAAAAAACTCCAGTCAACACTGAAGAAGAATTAACCTAACGGATGCGAGATTCATGTGATCAGATAAGTCATACTCCAGGAATATTTCAACGAGTTCAGCAATCAATGTTAAAACGAGCTAATGCTTGCATTCAGGCTGAAGGAGGGCATTTTCAGCAACTATTATGTTTAGTGTTATTCACTGTTAAATGTTTTCATTGAAATAAAAGTTTGTCTAGTTTTAAAAATACATTTATCCGGTTCGATTTTTTTTTATTTCCAGCGTTACGAATAAGCAATGCCACTGGCAAAACATTGCAACAATAAATTACGCTATGCAAATATTTTGTTTATTTCTTTTATCGAAAGCAGGTATAATCTGGGCAAAAAAACAAAGGGCGACTTTCGTGTAATTTATCGAAAACGTGCAATAAAGTGCTTTTTATTTTTCATCTCGCAAACAAAACGAAATATGAAAGAAACTCCGGAGACAAAAAAGTTGTATTTTTAGCTGCTTAATTCGGAAAAAATTGGAAAAAGTTAGTGGTGCACAAATATTTTGTCAAAGATACTGGTTAGGGTGTTTTTCGGGACCCTACTGGACTCAATAATTTCAATCTAATTGGGGCTAAATTAGCCCCTTACCGCTAAATTTGAACAAAATTGACTGAAAGTTTATTAAGCTATTTAAGAAAAAAAGATTTTGAGTTTGACTCCCTCTATCTTGAAAATGAAGCATTTCTAGACCTATGTTTATATAAAGTTTTCAACTTAAAATAACTTAATCACCTCCTGAAGTTTGGCCACGTACGTAAATAACGCCGTGCATAAAGTTTTCCTGCAAAAATTAGTTTACCCATTGTATGCGCTGATAAATACTCCCTAAGTAACTTACATCCTTAAAACCAGCATCACAAATGTTTTGCGAACCAGTCTTTTTTTGTCTAATATGGTTAGACTATTAAACAATGACTAATTGTCTATTTTTTTTCAGATGTTAGTGAGGAGGGCAGTTCGAAGAAATGAGCTCACTGTATCAATGTACTTTTGTATGTAATTATGTATGCTAGAAACCATGATTTCATGGGAGTATTTAGACTTAGTTAATTTCGATGTAACCATATCTCACTATACTTATTCAACAATTAGTGTAAAAAATGGGACATTTCTATTTTGAATATAGAATTCTAAGTTTGTCTCTTTTTCTGGAGGTGATTAAAACTGGGTCGGTCATGACGCTTGAGCTATCACGGTTTGGCTCTGATATGTGATGTAACCATATATAGTCAACGCCAAACAAAGTGGCGTGCACGTCATCACGATAAAAATTCCCCGACCTAATGCCTAGGTTTCTATCACAAATAATTGCTCTATTGCAGTTTCATATTAATGTGATATATAAATTGTAAAATGGTCATTACTCTCTTATTATGGTTAATAGACATATAAACATTGTTATTAAAATATCACATAAGTTGCTTTCTGATAAATTTAGACGCATTATGCGAAATAAAATGTTTTGCAAACGCTCCAATCACTTATCGACATGTAAACGCACTAAACCGATTTCGCAGCGTTGACACATTGTCACCTTGAAACTTATTTAAACTGGGAACTGACATTTGTATTAATTTTGACACTGAATCAATTTGTGGCATTTCAAATCTTTATAAATCCTTTGGCCCCGCATACTGTAAATCAACAACTGTTTGTTTCAAAACAAAATTATTCATTTTACGAGTAGATAAAGGCAATTTTGGTATATAAATATGCCCAAACAGTTAAATAGTCGGTGTAAGGAACTCGTGGCCTCGTTAATGCACTACTTTAGGCAAGAAAGGGACAACAACGGGCCTTTGTTGCCTTTAAATGCTGTTCAAGAGGTAGGTTACTAATAATTATATGTAATGTATATTAATAATAGTGAAATTTTATTTCATTTTTTGTAGCGTGTTGCTGCTGCTTTAAAAATTAGTGTAAGGACAGTTAGTCGTATTTCCGAGGGTGTGAAAAGTGATGCAAATTTAGAATCGCCCAAGAAAAAGCGGAGTTATATTAAACGTGTAACCAACACAGCGACATTGGATACAAGTGCCATTCGAGAAGTGATCTATAATATGTATCACAAAAGTAAGATCTTATTATAATAACTTATCAGAAATTTGCATTAATTTGTTAACTAAATTATAATGTCATATTACACATGGTTTCAGAAGAACAAGTTACGATACAAACTTCATGGTCTCGATTAAGAGATAGGGCATTATTTGATGGTAGTGCCACGTCTTTAAGGCGGTTGCTTAGAGATCTTGGATTTAAGTGGCTTAAGGACAATCCGCGACGAGGGCTCATGGAACTACCAAGTATAGCTTTGAAAAGGGTGGAATTTCTAAGGCAATACAATCAAGCCAAGGTTGAGGCCTTATACCAGTTTGTCTTCCTCGATGAAACTTGGATATTTCAAAATGGGACCATAGGTCGCTCTTGGCAAAATGGAAACCAAAAAAGCGTGAAAGCTATTAAAACAGATGGTAAAAGGTATGTACTTTTACACAATTTGCACTATAAAATTTAAAACTAATATATTTTAGATACATTATATTACATGCTGGAAATGAAAATGGGTTTATTGAGGGTAGTGAAGCGATATTTTCTTCGAAAACAAAATTGAGCGATTACCATGGAGAGATGAACCAGGACAATTTTTTGAAATGGTTTCAACATCAGTTATTAGAAAAATTGGAGAGTCCATCTATGATTATACTGGATAACGCCCCTTATCACAGCATGATATTGAACAAAGTGCCCAACAATGCATGGACAAAAAAAAATATCCAAGACTGGTTGACAAATCAAAACATACCATTTTTAAACACAATGTTTAAAACAGAGCTATTGAGTATTGTTGCTCGGTACATAATGCTTCTTAATTATATATATTTTGGTCGACAGTTTATATTTCTTTTGTTTATTCCTATTCTTAAAATAACTGCTTTTTTAGAAACAAACCACCTAAAATATACGTGATTGATGAATTGGCGGAACAACATGGGCACAAAGTTCTTCGTCTGCCTCCTTACCATTGTATATTTAACCCTATTGAGTTAATTTGGGGCATAGCAAAAGGTTACTATAACAGACATATTGGTAGAGATGGTAACAGTGAAAAAGACTGTTTGGATATGTGGAACGAGGCTCTACAAACGGTTACCCCAGACATGTGGAAAAATAGTGTTCGACATACTGAGCAAGAAATTTTTAAATGGTATGAAAGAGAACGAATTTTTGATCGACCAGACATCGAACCTTTAATAATCAACTTTGAGAGTGATGAAGATTCAGATTCAGACAGCGCTGAAGAAAGAAACTCCGACTAACTTTATTGTACAGAAAAAGCTTACACCAGTAGCTTACCTAATTTTAGAATGCATTTTTCTGTATGAATTCTGTAAAATAAATACCATGCATAAAATTTGGAGGACCCCATTTGGATTTTTATTCAGTACCTTTAAGCTATCAATTAAATATGGTAGTTTCATAGTGTCATCTGATCAATAATTGTCATACTTAATTATTATGCAAGTACAGATCTATAATTTTATTATACTATTATTTTTGTTCTCATTTGAGGTTAATATTGCTTATAAACCTAGATATGTAAATAATAAATTTTATTATTTTACAAAAAGTTTGGCAATAATGTAAATTTTTCAACACACCCACCTTGATGACGTGCACGCCACTTTGTTTGGCGTTGACTATACTTCAGAGATGGCATTATTGGAGGTCTAAGCTGTAAATTGTATACTATAGCTGGAAGGAAACGGGCGAAATGGCAGTGCATAGGTGATTAGTGAGGATTTGTGTGCTAATAATATGTGTTCATGATAATTGCATTGCTAAATACATGAAATGTAAGCAAACCTAGAAATTACTTTTTCTTATTCATCCTAGAAATTACATATCGTCGGCTAAATACGTTAAACTGCTAACTCCTTTTTGTGAGGTTTACAGGAGGAACAAACAACGATTTTACAACAATGTTGTGCATTTAAACAAGCCGCTATTAAGGCAGAATATTTTTGATGATATTTTCAATGTGTTGACAAGAAACAGATGTGGAAAAAATTACTGTATTAGATTTTATGGACAAAAACTGGAGTTGGCAGTTGTTCATTTGAACAGTAAAGAAGGAATTTTGGAGTTAGCAACTTTTATTTTTAGTATAACATTTATTTTAGTGTAGTCAAAATGGTCAAAACATCTAAACTAAAACATCTAAAAATTCACAGGTGTGGCAAATTATTATAAAAATGGTGATAGTCCGCTGGAATAGTACAGTTAATTTCTTGAAGGTCGGAATATTTTCGCGCAGATATTGGAATTATATCTTTATACAGATGGTCTAACACTGTGCAGACAATAATGTCAACTTGAGATTTTCTTTGCGAAAGTAATTCTCATTCATCAGACAACCGAAGTTTATAATAGATGTCCGCTACTGGTGTATATTTTAGGCCCGAATATCAGTTACCTACAAATAAAAATTAAACAATTAAATATACCAAGCACTCTTATAATTTGAATGTTTTGATTACTTTTGGTACTCCTAGCTTATTCCCTCGACAAATACTTCTAACAGCTCCTAACTTTTTTGATTAATCGGGACAAAGAGTGATCTAAGTACATTACCTCCTAGGGCTTAGAATTATTTATATGGCGTTTTTGCAATGGTATGCACAATCTGCAGGGACGTTTAGCCTTACTTGATTTACACAACGTTCTATGGTGGCATGCATGGAATCCACTTGCATTTGAGTATGTCCAACCTCTAAATATTTATTCTCAAGTGTAATATCATGTTTTCTGCATAAACTTAAAGCTGCGTTAGCCAAAGTCGCGTTTCTGTTCTGGTACGTACAACCATTACATTATTATCTTTCGGTCATCTTTGTCCATTGTAGGAATGACTTTTGTTTCCAAAAATGAGTAGAAACATGAGACAAATTCTTCTGCGGTTAGTCCACACCATAAGCAACCATTTGTTGAGCATAATTATTATAAAGGCAAAGGCTGTGAACGAATAATTTTGTCTTGTTATATGAGCTGCTAACATTAGATTTAGGAGACATTAAAACAGCTTGAAGGTCAGCAGTAAATACGCATTTCTCGTTTTCCATATGCTTTTGTTTTTCTGCTCTGGAATCATTTTTGTTTAATATATGAGCGTTGAGAAAATAAGCGGATTTTCTTAGTAGCATATACATCAATGTCTTAAGAGAACCGAGAAGACGGTCCTGACCCTCGATCACGTCCACAGCGCCAGCGTACAGGTATACGACTACGATGTAAATACGCTAGTATGCAACCTAACCTAGACGCCGATAGTGTAGGTCAACAAACCATTACATTGGTAACCGATTCAAAATAAAAAAAATGGCCCACTCATACAGCAATAGCTAACTCAAGAAGTCAATTTCATTAAAAAAAAAACAATAATGAATACTGATATCTCCCAAATACGTCCAAACGTAATTTAAGAGAAAAGCTGCCACTCCAACATAACGGTAATTTTGTTTACTACAAACCAAAATAAACATATTTTTACAAAATCAAACTTACCTTTCATCAAAGTATTACCGGAATTCCAAACTAATGTCAAACTGTGATATTTTAAAAAGAAGCCACGTTTATTCTAGAGCTGAAGAGCGTTTGAAGAGCACACGTGCACCTGTCACTTTGTTTTGACTGGAGATAGCAGTATTTCGATGAATAAAGTGTGGGGAGCAGTTGGCAGCTTTACTCATCATGGCTTTTCAATCAGTTTTCGTACGAACTTGACAAACATTTAGTTTTGGTATGATAGAAAAGGAGTCATAGTTGTTAAGGGGCCTACAGACACACGAACATGTATTAAGACATGAACGCACGGCGATGTTTGCGCAGTGATACCCGTCGATCTACTTTTAGCTCCACACATAGAGACTTGTGTGTCACTTTTCTCCACGTCGATGTTGTAGTTTGTCGCCATGTCTAGCGATGATGAGTTAAACTTACTAGCAGTGGCGTGCGTTTGTATTGTGAAAAAAAGAAAACATCAATTGAAAAAGGGACGTCAGCCACGAAGAAAATGGGTTAAAGATTGGCTTTTGAAGCGGGATCAATATTCTCACATCAATTTACTTGAAGAGCTACGATTAGAACCTGATGATTGGCGAAACTACCTCCGGATGGATGAAGATAGTTATATAAATCTCCTAGAGATGGTTACGCCACTTATTGC